AACCTCAATAAATGCCCTAATCCCTAGGAAGCTCTGGTGACCTAATGGCAAGAAGCTGCACTGCAATCCTGGAGGCACATGGTTTGGGGCCACGAGCTGCTCTGGTGGAAAAGCATGGGCTATCTCCTCCCATGCAACAGCCTCTGAAACCCACTGGAGGGTCAGCTTTGGGTCAGTCCCAACTCTACAGAACAACCCCCCCCCCAAGGCCTTAAGTGATGTGTGTATATTTTAATCTGACCAACAACACATCTGAGCATGAGGTGTTTTGGCTCAAATGAAATTCATTCTCTAGTCAGGAAACCCAGAGACCACAGTTAACCCTGGGGAAAGAGGACTGCAGATTTTAATGTATCACACATCTAACCCAAGGTGTTGGTGGCGCTGCCCACATCTGTAATTCACTGATGCCAAATTGTGCATAAATGTTGGAACCCCAAATCACAGTCAATCCCATAAGGCTGAAGTGTCCCGGAGGGCTTCCAAGCCCACTTTACAGATGTAGACCCTGACATGTTTCTCTTATAAAAGAGGCTGGTGGATTTGAACCACCAACTTTTAAGCTAATATGCTCTAACCATAGTACCAACAAAGTGCCAGTGAGTTAGTTGTGACTCAAGGTGAACCTACATGACTGAGTAAAACTGCCCACAGAGGTTCCAAGGCGAATCTTTACAGAAAGCAGCTGTCACAACTTGCCCCACAAAGCAGCTGGCAGGTCTGAACTGCTAACCTCTTGGTTCCTGGCTCAGTATTTTAACCACAGCGCCACCAGGACTCCTTAAACTCTGGGCAAGAGAACATAAATTACATAATGCAAAATTTACTACAAGTTTCCAGGACCACCTGAATGGAGGCTCTCAGGATTGCGGTGTCTTTCCAGAGGCTCGGCAGGGTCCCCCCAGCCCTCTCTGCCTGCTCCATGACTCGCTGTTCTCTCATAACTCAGTTTAACCATGGTAGATGTATGTGCCTTCAGAGTGTCACTGATGACTCTGATTCTAGACAACTGATCAGCTCTGCCCCATAGAAGTTCCCTCCCCAGACTACAGCTTGGGCTGGTCTGTTTCATCTTTATCAACAGAGAAGCTTTTGGCTTCCATTACTGTGGCTAACGACCATACTGCCCGAGATCCCCAATTCTCCTTCTTTCCTGTCTGGCTTCTGCAGTGCAGTTCCTCCTAAAGCTGTCATACAGCCCTCATCAGCCAATCCCAAGCCTATCCTCCTTCCTTCCCCTCTGCTGGAGACCAAACGGGTTGGGGACCAGAAATCAAAGAACAGGCGCCTCTCAACCACCATTCTACCACTTGTCGGCTGTTGTGATGTTGGGAGAAAGCATGTCTCATGTCTCAGTGTCTTCTGATGTACTATGTGGATATTGCCTAGTTGATGCAATGAGGAAGAGAGATGCACAAGAAACAGGGAAGCCAAAGGGTATTTTGTAATGATTCAGCTCCTTCTAGGAACAAAGCCTCTCCAGATGCCTGAGTGCACTAGAAGGCTGGCCTCTGGGGAGCGAGCATTTCCCTTTATCCAATCCACTAAAAGCCTGGGAGAGACTCAGAACCTCACCCCTAAATAAGCTCTCTGGAATCACAGTATCTCTCTTAGACTACTCATATTTACACAGAAGGCTTCAACAAAAGAGATTCCATATTTATAGCTGGGGTATCATCTAAACTAGGTATTTTAAAAATAAGATCTCTTTTTCATACTAAAACAGGTTCGTGATGCTCTTTTAAGAGCAAAAAATGCAAACAAGGGAGCTCTGGTGACATAGTGGATAGATGCTGCACTGCAATCCCAGAGGTGCGTGGTTTGAATCCACCAGATGCTCTGCTGGAGAAGGAGGCACAATCTCCTCCAGTACCAGTCAGATCTGATTTGATGGTACACACAAATAATAAAATTTTTTAAAAAAAGGCAATCATATCAAATCCTACCACTGACTGGGGGCTCTGATGGTGCACTACAATCCCAAAGGCACATGGTTCAAATCCACCAGCCGCTCTGCAGAAGGATGAGCAATCTCCTCTCGTGAGATTCACTGCCTCTGAAAACTCACTGGAGGGTCAGCGATGGGTTGGTACCGACTGGATGGCACATAACCACCACTACCATTAACTGAGTGAACCTTTTCCTGGGCTTTTTTGATTATTTGTTTAAAAAAACATATGTAAGTGGAGGACATTGTACATATTAGTTAGCAGCTGGTATTTTCTATTTAATAATATATGCCAAATGCTTCCAACTCTAATTGTCAACTAAACTAGACTTTGAATCTATTTCAAGTTGCTTCACATTGTACGGAATAATGCTCTAAATAAGAGAAATGTTTATCTCAAAGCTTATGGTTTATTTTAAACCCTCTAGAAATAATGTAATGTTTACAAAAAGAGGGACTATGTGCCAGGATCGTCCACTTACGAAGTAAATATAGCAAGCACACGAAGAAAAACGACTGATATCAGTGGTATTATATTTCATTTAATGCACACAGTGAAATGTAGTATCACTGTCATTCTCCCGAGGGAGCTCTGATGGTGGGATCCATAGGGTGGGGCACTGCTGACCCAAAGGAGAAACCTCTCTGGAGGTTCAAATCCACCAACCGCTCTACAGGAGAGACAAGCCATCACGTGACACCGACATTGTTGTTATTGTTGTATAATCTAGAGTCAGAACTGACCCTCTGGCAGGTTTTCAGAGACAGGTTAATCGCTTGGGAGAAGACTGCCCACTCTTCCCCTGCGGAGCGGCTGGTGGCCTCGAACCGTGTGCCTCTGGGACGTCAGTGCAGCTTCTTGCCACCAGAACTCCCCGTGAGTGAGACTGTAACACAAGGTAGCCAAGTCCACAGGGAGCTGAGTGGCTAAACCCAAGGCAGCGTCTCTCTAGTGGCTTGGATCCTCTAGCGGCTCCACAGGACAAAGATGAGCAATCTCCTCCTGTGTGATTTACAGCTTCCAAACCCGCAGAAGGGCCAGCCGTGAGTCGACTCCAACTTAATGGCAGTCAGTATACTGAATAGACACATTTTTTTAAAATATTAGTTTATTTTCAAAATTTGAATACATTGATAACCACTTAAGTCACATTGTTTTTCAACAGCCTCTAAGAGAAGCCTTGGTGGTGCAATGGTTAAGTGCATGGCTTGCTAACTGAAAGACTGGCACGCTGAGCTCAGTGGGAGAAGAGAGTCTTTGCTTCCATAAAGCCTGAGGCCTGTGGAGGTGCTATTCTTCTTATACAAGAGGTCACCATTAGTCAGACATTATTAGACTGCACACAACACCACAGATAATTAAGTGACCACAGTTACTACCTTCGTTATTCCTTACCTGGGTTAATAGATCAAACCCAGGCAGAAGCAGAGAATTACTGTTCACTAAGAGAAAATCATTCTAAAAAAGAAAAATCAAGATCCCAGCTTTCAAGCAGTGACCTCCGCAGGCCAACAAGCCTCTCGCAAAGAATAGCCTTCATCCTTCTCCAGAAAAGAGGAAACACAAGAAGCAGCGCCTGGTGCAGAGGCAGGATTCCTACTTCCTGGATAGGAAATGCCCAGGGTGCTATCAAGTCACAGGCTTCAGCCACGCACAAGCAGGAGTTCCGTGTGCTGGCCGCTCTACTGCTGTCAGCCTACAGGAGGAAAGCAAGGCTTGCAGAAGGACATTACTTCAGAAAGAAGCAGCATTAAGAAAAACACGCTGAATGAAGATGAATGGGAAATCATCTCAATAAACACAATTTGGAGTAAAAAAAAATCAAACTGATGATTCCATCCACAATGAAGAGAATAAAGGTAAAAAAGGAGCCAAGAATCCCTCCCACATTTCATACACTGAGGAACTATTAACCTGTAAGAGCCATTATTGGTCTTTTGCTCTTAGATACAGACTACATATTGGCATACACTTTTACTTTAAAATATTTATGTCAAACATAGCGATTAGACTGCCAAATAGAGGGCCTTGCAAAAGAACTCCACAGAGCAAACAATGAACAAACGATTTTGAACAGACATTCAACGGTCAAGCAGCACGAAAGAACCAACTTCCCTAAGAAGGAAACGCAACTTTAAATGGGAGATTCTCTCTTATCTGTCAAACAGACCAAAAAGAGAAAACGGGAAAAGGAACCTTCACAGATTCTTTGGAGCCACTGGACAGCATCAAAATTTAAACACCAGCATCGCTTTCCCAGCAATCCTACTTATAATAGTAACTTTCTGCTGAAGTAACTTAAGTTTAAAAACCATGTATGTGTACAGCCATGCTGACAGAACGACTTTGGTAACATACAAAACCTGGGGGTCAGGGAGGATCTCCATGGAATTACCATTTAGGGAATAATTAAATCTTCATACCAAAAATTTCTAAGAACGATATAGTTATAAGGACAAGGGAAAAGGCTCAGTCACTACATCAGAAAGTTAGCAAAATCCAAAGCTTTTAATTCAATGTTTCCATTTTTATGTAGGAAAAGAAGATACATGTTTCTGTTTTAAAATTCTGTTTGAACAGGGATAAGAAGGGCAAATCCTAATGGTTTTGTGTGCTTCCCTCTAGGATTATAGGATGCAAGCTGGCAAGAGGTGGGAACTACATTTGACTTTATGGTTTCCTTTGTCACTCACACTTTTTTATTAGATGACACTGTTACTTTTATAAATGAAAAATAATGAAGGGAACATTCTCCCCCCTCAAAGTGCAACACACTGTTATGATAAGAAATGGACTTCAGACATCTGTTATACATTAAGTGTCTAATAAGCTGTTGTTGTTGTTATTGACTGCCGCTGAGTTGAGCATGACTCACAGAGACTATGAACAAAAGACGTGAAGCGTTTCTATAACTATCATCATTTCTCAAAGTTAATAGAGTTTCCAGAGGCATGTTGTTTAGAAAGGGATGCCACTCCTTCTTCCAAGCCTAATAAGTAGAGGTAAAACATAACTATTAAATTTAACAGTAAGTGATAACATCCCGCTTACCTCTTCAAGTGATAAATTTTGTGTGTATATTGGCCCTTTTCTCCATCTTTTTCATAAGGCTCGTTCTTCAAGACTTCGATTCCTTCTCCACCACCAGTTTCATTCTTACTAGCTTCGGCAACAGAGTAAAGCTGCCCAACCTGATACTGAAATTGCAAGCAGCAGAGAATTTCAGTCAGTCAGTAGCCACTGCAGGCATCTCACTGTGTAAGGCAGACACGGGCATCCAAATCATTCCGCGTACTGATACTTCATCATATAAAACAAGTAAGAAACTGGTGTTATCTAGGAACACCAGATGACAACATGCTTCTAAACAGACCACAGTTTACAAACCTTCCCTTCCTCAAGAGGAGGAAGAGATCAAATCTTCTGGTGTTTTAATAGATATAAGTCATTTATCATCCATCAAATGTCTTTTAACACTTGCTTCACCTTCTTGGATGATATAAAAAGATACATTTTGAGACAGGAATCAGGAGGGGCCAGCCCTTGGAGAAGGACTTCAAGTTTGGTAAAACAGAGGATCAGCAAAAAAAGGGAGTCCATGAAAAGGGCTGACCCATCGCTGCAGCCACAACAGGCTCAACACAGCAGAGACTGAGAGCAAGGGACTGGGCAGCGTGAGCTTCGTTCTGTTTTACAAAGGGTTAGGTGTTGATTCGAGGGCGCCTAACAAGACCGACCTTCCCACCTTGTGTTCACACCCATCAGATCTCTCTCACTTAACGAAATCCAAGGCAGTGGGACACATTTTCATTGTTGCTCTGCCAAATTAGAAAGTTCAGCTTAAAAGGGTTAGATGGCTTTTCTCAGTCACAGGTAAACAAGACTTAAATATCTTAAGTAAATAAGATAAGAGTGCTCAAAGCTGAAGAGAAATAAAGCACAGTAATAAGCGACTGAGGAGCCATATTTTTATAAACCAACAAAATCTTTTTTTTTAAAAAAAATGACCTATGTATGATACTCCCAATTTAACCCTTGCCTGCTTAATCAGAAAGAGTTCTAGGAGCCCCAGATGAGAATTATTAATTATGGTGTTCTGTAGCTAACAGAAACTGTTTGAAAAGCATTATAAATACACAAGTTTTACCACAAAAGGTAGAGGATAGCAGGCACTAGTTACCATTTTGTTTTCAATGACCCAGACTTATCAGTGGTCTGCACGGATACTGTGAGTTGGCCAACTTACCCCAAACCACTCTGAAAACACCAGCAGTTTCCAAGAGATGACAGACTTCAAAGGTAAAACTTTGTGTTCTAATTTGCGCCAGTGACCTGACTTGACACTAGCTCCAATCTCTTGAATGTGGCTCAAAGTCTTTTCCTTCCAACGAAAGATTAGTAGACGTGCTCTTCTTCATAAGCATATTTTTCAAGGAAAAGCTACAAAATCCTACCTCATAAAAATCAGCAATTAAAAAAACCAACACTGGGGGAGCTCTGGTGGCCTAGTGGCAAGGAGCCGCAACTACAATCCCAGAGGCGCACGGTTCAAATCCACCAGATGCTCTGCCGGGAAAAGGAGGGACAATCTCCTCCTGTACCAGTCAGATCTGATTTGACGGTACACTCACACAGAAATAAAATTAAAAAAAAACAAAACAAAACACAAAAACAAAAACAAAAAACCCAACACTTCTTTGAAGGACAACAAATTGGAGTAGTTCTAAGCTTAAAAAACAACAGAACTCTTGTTATGTATCATTGAGTTGTAAATGACTCATTATTGACCCTCCAGAGGGTTTTTCAGAGGCAATTTACTTGCACATGAGAGTCCATCTTTCTCGCTCAGAGCAACTGGCAGGTTTGAACCATGTGCCTTTGGGCTCACAGCACAGCTTCTTACCATTAAGTCACTAGAGCTCCCTACCGTCAGCTCTTGGAACTGATCAAGTAAGTACAAGCTGGGGGGTGAGTTATGAAGCTTCCTGTACCACTTCTAATCATCAGCATTGTCAGCGAAAATAATCGTCCGAGCTTTGTTGTATTCAGATTGCACAAGTGTGCATTTCTGCTCAGTTATCCTGAAAAATGGCAATGAGAGGAAGTCTAGTGGCATGCCACAAATGCTAGTGGCATTATTACCTTCTGGAGGTCAGCTCTGCTAGTGTAATTGTTACTGTTTCTATGTTCTAACCAAAATGAAAGGAAGCTTTTTAACTTAGACACATATTAACACTGCTTAAAATAGGACTCCTGAAAAATTAAATTTGAAAGTACTTAAGGCTTGTGGCATTACTGGGTGAACCCAGGGGGCTGAGTAAAACAAAACACCCTACATTCCCAGAGGCTCCGTATCTGGCGCATTTAAGAAAATTTGTTTATTTCTAGCTTTCCAAACCTTTTAAAACTGAGCAAGAGAAGAGTGTGAGAGTGTGTAAAGACACAAATTCTTTTACATTAACCTGCAAGTTAGTATCGTACTCTTTAAGAAGTGGCTCAGAAGCTGATTTAACCAGCTGAAACCACAAGAGAAAAAATTTACAACAACATAAAGCCAACTTGTACATCTAAGTCCAAACATGCCATTGTCCCAGTTGGGATGAGGGAGCCTGGCTCGCCTGGAGTGTGTCTCAACACATTAAAAGCCCATAAAACCCCAGGCTCTACTCCATGTGGCTCTGCTCTATTTACATGAACCAGCGCTAGACAGCTATGCTTTTCTAGTACCTGCGTTTCACTTTTTCTGTCTTCTGTCAGCTGTCACTTCTGAAGTTATCTGTTTGTTCTGTCCCACTTCCAAATCACTACTTTTCACCTACTGTCGGTTCCAGGAAAGCCAGACAACAGATACGAGTACAAGCTGGGGGTGAGTTATGGAAAGGGCCCGTGGGGCCTGGCTCCATTGTGCTTGATTTTCAAAGTCTTTTCAGCTTTCATCCTCACTCTTGGCTCCACTACAGACAGCTATGGCTGAGAAGACAGGCAAGATCTAAATGGGTGAAGCAGGCCCGTATCGTGCGCTGGTCATAAAGAGAGGATCTCCGACTGCTGTGTGTGTTTTGGTCTGCCCGCCTCAGTGACACTGGGCTCTGGTTCAGAGTAACAACGCCCAGGACGCAGGAAGTGAGCGGCTGAGAGCCGATCTGGGGCTCGTGTTCCATCAGGCCGAAGGAGTGTGCTGGAGAACTGGCAATGTTTAACCCTGTGACCTCGGACAGAGATGAAGCCACAGAAAGGGTTCAGGGGAGGGGAGAGAACAGCCACTAGGAAACTCTCCAAGTCATGTGACCACAGGCAAGCTGCAACGGGCTGACTTCCCAACTGCTCAAGGGGTCTGAACTACAAACAGCGGTAAAGAATTCTACGAAAGCAGATTTTGATTTACAGACAAATAAATGGTTGTCAACTCCTTCAATGGTCAAACAGGCTGCTTCTGTATAAGCGGTCGGCAACCTGACCTTCAAGTTCTTCATTTGAGGCTGGGAATCTTTCCCTTTCTCTACTATAATGTTCAAAGAATTTCTGTCCTGGCAAGAGATGGAACTATAAACATTCTTTGGAGCCTTCCAAAGTAAGGAATTCACTTGCAACGAAATTACCTGTAACAGCGTAATTCATTGCTAAATAAACTGGAAGGGAAATGGAAAGAACTACTATGAAATGAGAAGTTTGGATTAACATATCAAAATAAACTGTAGCCATAAGATAATGCTGAAGCAAGACTTACCTCCTGAACAGAACATGGCAAAACCACACGGCTGGAGAGACAAAAAGGGAGAAAGAACACACATTACACAGGGAATCGTTGGCTTTGAAACGTATCTCCAGACTTTGGAGAATGTTTAAACACAATGATATAGAGAAGAGTCTTAAACTTGAAATACAAGGATGTCAATTATGGAAGGAACTTTGCAACAGTGATAAGGATTTGTAAGGGAGGTTCTCAAGGATCATTAGCATTTACTGTCCTCGAAGGCTGTGCCTGGAGCAGCATGAATCCACCATATGAGAGAGAAGATAGGCAATCTCCTCCCCAGCAACTTACAGCCTCAGAAAACCCAGGAAGGGTCAGCTGTGAGTCAGTTCCCAGTTGATGGATATGGAAGAGAGGGGGAGAGAGCGAGCTCATTGTACAAGGGCCCTAAGGACACAGCTGAGAACATTTCTGCAGGGGGTAAAAAAAAACCCAAAGGAAAACATTATCACTGAAAAGTGTAGGTGACAAAAAATGCATTAGAGTTGGTCCTCAACTTATGTTTGAGATGAGAGATTGCATTTATATCTCTTTAGAGAGATTTCTATAGATATTGCCCATGAAAAATACTAATAATGGAAACATGGACAAAAAGTAAAGGTATTCCATTTACATCAGACTCAACTTGTGACCTAACTCTGTGGCCTAAGTCAGGTACTGTATCTGTTGCCTGTTTAGTCAGGTTGTCCTTATAAAATTTTTAGCATGATTATCCTGCTCCATCTATATGCTGCGCATGTTCTTATAATACATCTTACAGAACATGTGTTTTACACCTCATGGATGAATGCATCCCAAGCACTCAGATTATTCCTCAATAACATAAAAATTAGGAATCCAGGGAGCTCTGGTGGCCTAGTGGCAAGAAACTGTGCTGCAATCCCAGAGGCAAGTGGTTCGAATCCACTAGATGCTCCGCTGGAGAAGGAGGGGCAATCTCCACCTGTGCCACACACACACACACACACACACTCTCTCTCTCTCTCTCTCTCACATATTCTCTTTCTCTCTCTCCAGAATCTCTGTTCTTCAGATTAAATCACTCCCACTTAATGCTGCCATCGAGTTAGAACTGACTCGTCGCTGACGGCAATAAATCATATGTGAGGAGACTGCCCATCTTTCTCCTGTGTGTAGTTGCTGGTAGATTCAAACTGCCAGAAAGGCATCACTTTTTAGTTAGAAGCACCACTCCTTACAGACTATGTCATCAGAACTCCCTTCAAGCTTATTAGTAAAAAACACCTTGACCAAGAAAAAGATCTTGAACTATATAAATAAAGCTTCCTGGGCATATTCAATATAAGGTAGAGATGTGTCTGGTCTTGCTCACGAGGGTCCTAACCACTGGGCATGCCAAAAGTCCTCATCACAATTCCACATTACCCATAATGTAGCCCTGACAGATGGAAGCCAAGGACGGTATGTCAGTGAATTCTTTTTTCATTAGACCATTGTATTTTTATCTCCACGGCTGTACGAGGAAGTTTCCTGTATAGTTATATCTACCATACACTTTGAAAGTCAAGGCCTTCATTGTCTATCAACTGTCTCACTCTAACAACTGGTCGGTTTCCAGGATACCAACCTCCTCTTTTCCACCTGGTCCTTCTCCCCTTTAAGGTACCCCAGGTAACTAACCCACTGCCAACAAGTCGATTCTGACACACAGTGACCATCACGTTGCTAAGGCTGTCAAGCCTTACAAGAAGAGACTGCCCATCTATCTCCTGAAGAGCAGCTGGTGGTGGCTTAGAACCCCTGACCTTTCAGACTGAAGTCCACCACGTTGCACACTATATCAAAGGCTCCCTAGGCTCCTATAGCAGGGTCACTTAAAATCTTGTTGTAACTTTTTCTGTAATAAACGGTGGGAGAGGAGAATCGAATGATGAGCATAGAAAAGTGTCAAGTGGTTTTCCCCATTCTACTTCCTTAACTGTACTTCTCACCTACACCACTATATTCTCCAAACACATCTATGCCTGGTTGTTGCCATCTCTTTTATCTGTAATATGCACAAAGCATATTACTCCTATATAATCCCTGCATGGCTCCTATATAAAGCATGCCCTATATAATCCCTGCTCAACTGAACTAGACGAATCAACAGTGACAACAATAACAGGTTCATGTGTATCAGAGATGGTGAAGATGGCACAGGTCAGAGCAGAGTTCAGATCCCTTGTGAAAGGATTAGTGTGAGTCGTAATTGACTCAACAGGACATGAAAACAACATCCTTTGTCTTTCTGCTTATGGAGAGCTAAAGGTAATAAACAGTTTCAGACTCATAAGGGTAAACTAATTTCCCTCATCATAGGTTCTCAGATAACTAATCATTCTCAATAACTCTTCAACATACACATTAACTTGTTCTCTTTTTCAAAACAACAACAACAAAAAAAAACCCACAAAAACCAGCTACCAACCCAAAGGCAAGTGGTTCGAGTTTACCAGCTGCTGTGTGGAGAAAGATGTGTTCCTGTGTGATTTACAGCCTCTGAAAACTCACTGGAGGGGTCAGCCAAGAGTCAGTTCTGACTTGAGGGCACAGAACAACAACAAAACTGCAGAGTAGGGAGTAGGGTACGTAGAGGAAAGATTGGGATTTATTTATAGGGTCTGGAATACTAAGGTAAGAAATTTATTGAATTCATTAGACAGTAACAAACCTGGAAGGCTATTGGCATGATGCCCCAAAGAAGCAGTTGCTATTGTTGTTGACTGCCGTCAAGTCGAGTTATAGTTAAAAACATCTAGAGGCAGGAGAATGGGAAAGAACTATCTTTTGAGAAGCTAGGTGTGGGTCAGGGAGCTCTGGGAGCCTAGTGGTAAGGTGCTGTGTCAAGCTAAAGTCAGGCAGTGTGAATTCATCAGCTGCTCTGCAGTAGAAAGGCAATCTCCTCCTTCTAGACCTAGTGCCTATGAAAACCAACTGGAGGGTTGGCAATGAAACGGTTTGGGTACATAATAACAGTGGATAAGGAACTGCACTGTCAGCCCAAAGGCAGTTGGTTCAAATCCATCATCAGTCCTTGGGAGAAAGGTGGGCAATCCCTTCCTGCACAATTTATAATCCCTGAAAACCTTCCAAAGGGTCAGCTATGAGTTAGAACTTGAGGGTACATAACAACAGGCAAGGAAGGGTTAACAAAGGTGTGAACCAAGATGATATTTGGTATTGGGGATGGAAGGGAGGGAGGGAGGAAGGGACCTGGAGCGCAGAAGTGAAGGGTGGGGAGGGAAAAGTTAAAAATTTCTCTGTAGTTTTACAAAACCAAACAATGCTGACTAATTTTAAAAACTCCTCGTTAGTGGAAGACATCCGTTTTTATGTAACAACACTTTCAGGGAAACTTATTTCAGCAAATGAAAAGTGATTAACACATTCTGAATAATGAATCCGGTAATTTCATCAAGATTCGCTTAATAAAATAACAGTACAGGGGAAAAGGAACAGATAAAATTCTGATTTCTCTGAAAATCCCCAGGAAAAGTATTTTTTCAACAGAATTGGTAATTACACTTAATTCTTTAAAATGCAAACTTTCTAATTAGGGTAATGAGTGTTGCTTTACTGCTTGTACTGAACCCTCTCATTTATTTTCATTCATGTAAAAAAGAAATGGCATTTGGCAGAACAAACATTTGGTTAAGACCAAAAATTTTCACATAGGACTATTCACTGCTTCTGCCTCAAAACAAGTTTAAGAGTCAACCTGAAAGTAAGAAGTTCTTTACATTTAGTAATGACACTGAAGACTCAAGTGTCCTAGAATTTGATACTACTGCTACTGCTATGGGACTAAGACTGACTTAGAGGGATCCTCCACTGGGTTTTTTATGCCATAAGTCTCCCCACCTTTCTAAAGGTAAAGTACGTCCATCTTTCTCTCATAGGACATGTGGTGGATTCAAATCACCAACTTTTCATTTGCCAATCCAACACGTTACACACTATGCCACTAGGGAACTTTGTACTTACATAAAACCTTTATGTTTACATGTTGGGAATATATGCCTTCAAAACACCAAGAGATTTGTAACATTTCACATAAACAAATTTAAAAAGAAAGTGAGGGAGGGAAGTCTAAAGAGAGACTTGCAAAGTGAACAGCAAGAAATCTTATTTATAACTCCTGGGGGGGGGGGGAATAGACTGTGGACACACTATAAAATCTGTTACCCTGATACATTTTCATTCTTAGGGGAAAATTCATGATAGCAAAATAACTGTAGCATGAAAGTTAGCTAGTGGGAGCTCTGGTGGCCTAGTGGTAAGGAGCTGCAACTACAATCCCAGAAGCGCACGGTTCAAATCCACCAGATGCTCTGCCAGGGAAGGAGGGACAATCTCCTCCTGTACCAGTCAGATCTGATTTGACGGTACACTCACACAGAAATAATAAAATAAAAATTTTTTTAAAAAAAAGAAAGTTAGCTAGCTACTACTCACATAACTGTCAAAAAGATCTACTGAATGCTTACCTCACCTTTTAAGACGGAAGGAGGAGGAGGGAACTATCAATGAAGAGAAAAAAAAAGAACTAAATCCGTAATCTAAAATCAGTTCAGCTGGTTTCAGGACAAGTAAATTTCTCACCATTTTAACCAACTCCATCTACCTATCTACCCAGTAAAGAAGTCAGAGTATTAACTAAGATAACAGCAACAGGCTACTTTGTTCAAAACAACTGGGAAGAGAAGTTTTCTATTGCTCCTCATCAAGACTATAAATAGTTTTAAGCGCAATCTCCCTAAGCCAAAAGGCAAATGTATCTTTTCTCAGGATCCCTGTCAATGACCAAAGATACAATATTTCATTACTTCATTTCACAAATATTTACTGAGCATCCATTGATCCTGTATTAGGAGCCGGAAATGAATATAGGCAAGAGACAAAACAAAGAAACCAGCAAAATGCCAAAAACCCAAAATCTCTACCTTTACAGAGCTTACACTCTCTTCTCAAAACTCAATGCTGTCTAGTCTGAGCCCACTAGCTATACAGCACATGGGAGGAGACTGCCTGCCTTTCTCCCTTGGAGCTACTGGTGGATTCAAACCACCAGAGGTGGCACCTTTTAACAACACAACTCCCCTAGGAACTATGCTACCAGAGTTCCCAACTTCACTAGAAGACAGGAAAAATAGTAACAAATTGCATTATAGCAGACGGTGATCAATGTAACGGAAAAAAAAAAGCATGAAAGGCAAATATGAAATCGATGAGTGACAATGCTGAAGAGAGAGATTTTTTTGAGAAGGGGTCATCCTGGCAAAGAGCTAAAGGATGGAAGTGAGCAGTGAACCAGGGATACAATCCCCTAGCAGAGGCAAGGTTTATTTCTGGAGCGGCAGAACCGCCAGGAAGTGGGTGAGGCTGAAGTGGAAAAGGAAAGGATATTAAATACGATCAGAATGGGGCGGGGGGAGAGAGAAAGTCTAAAATCTTGTAAGGGAGCTCTGGTGGCTTGACAGTAAGGAGCTGCACTGCCAACACAAAGGCAATGGGTTTGAATCCACCTGCTGGGTAGAGGGGTAATCTTTCGCAGTGTGAATGACTGCCTCTGAAAACCTGCTGGGTTAGCAATTTGTCAGTCCCAACTCTACCGTATGTAACAATAACAAAGACCTTGTAAGTGATTGTACTTTGCTTTTTGGTCTCAAGTGCTACTGAGTCTTTGGAGAGTTTTAAGCTGGAGAGGAGTATTGAGAATACCATGGACTGCCAGGAAAACAAACAGATTTGTCCTGGAAAGGGTTAAACCGGGTGGCTCCTTGGAGGCAAGGATTCTGAGGCTCCGTCTAACATACTTTGGACATGTTATGAGGAGAGACCAGTCCTTGGAGAGGGACATCATGCTTGGGAGGGTGGAGGGACAGCGCAGGAGAGGAAGGCCCTCTATGAGGTGGATTGATTCAGTGACTGGGATAATTGGAATGGGAGTGTCAGAGACAGTGCGATTGGCACAGGACAGAGCGGAGTTTAGGGCTGTTGTACATTGGGTCGCTATGAGTCGCAGGCGACTCGACAGCACATAACAACAATAATATGAATGACTTTGTAAAGATGGTCTGAGAACAAACACCAAAAATTAAGTGCCTGGAAATGGCTGAGATAGATCTTTTTTAGGAATATTTAAAAGAAAAGAGTGTGTCTGAGAATACCAAAGAACGGACAGTCCTCAAAATCCATGGGGATTTGGTCAGCATCCATAAGGGATGCTGACACCACTGTGACAGCTGAGCATGCCCTGCCCACAGATTTCCTGTTACTGTCCGTCCTCGCCAGGGTGAAATGGTCAAGTATTCAACAAAAGCACTCCTAAGGTCTGATGAGTCTGGAAATCCCTTCTCCATGGCATGCCATCTTCGAAGTAAGAGGGACTCAGGCCCTCCCTATTTTAAAGATCGGGAAACAGAGATGTCTCTTGCACTAAAGTAAATCAACTGAGCCGTCCGGAGGAGCGCAGGTTATTCCAGGCTCCTGCCAAGAATCGAGGGCGCCAACGTCCCCACCTCGTGTCCCCACATCAAGGCTGCTTTCAAGTGGCAAGGAAATCTCCCGCCTGTCCCGGAAGGCTCCACCCCAGAGCCACAAGTCACAGTGGGACCCACTGTCCCCGCGCCCCGCTCACCCGCGGCGCCCCGGCCCCGCGATCGGCCCAGAGGTGGGTCCACACCCAATGAGGGTGGGGGGTGGGGAGAAGGCGGGTCCCAGCGGAAACTCCCTGCCGCACCTTCCCGAGCAACGAGCCCCGGCCGGGACCCCGGCACATGCCCGGGACCCGGGAAGATCGCCGGCGACGATGGACACCGCGACATCGGGGGACACGAGGGCCTGCGGTGGAGGGGCCTCGAGCGGGCTGGGGGCGCGCACGCGGGGACAGGGCGCGCGCGCAGGGAGCGGCCGGCCCGGGCATCACGCCGTCTTCAAAATGACCACTCCACCCCTCTGTCCATGTATCTCCCGCCACCGGCGCCCCAACGTCGCACTCGCGCCCCTCGACCCACTCACAATTCCTTAATCAGCACCATCTTCCCGGAACCTTCTCACAGCTGCCGCCGCCGGCCACCGCTACCGCCTGTAAAGGAGCCTGCGTGGCCCCGCCTCCCCGCTCCGACTCACAGCGGCGCCTGCGCACTCCCACGCTTCCGTCGCGTCAGCACGCCAGGGGGTTAGCTCCGCCCCGGCCCCGAGCCCCACCCAGGGCGCACGAGGCCTCCACTGCGGCTGCGCGGCTCTGCCGTGCGCGTGCGACTGGTACTGCGGCTGCGCAGACCCGCCCTGTCTCGCCTATTGCTTTCCAGGTTTGCTTGAGGGTATGTCGTGGGTTGAACCTTCTCGTGGGGTGTTCCAGCCTCTTCTCTGGAAACCGCTTTGCTGTCACCACCTGCACTCAGCTTTCGCTTTGCTGCCTTGAAGAGCTGGAGGCCCGTCTCTTGAGGGCCGCCTATCTTCCGAAGTCAGCGTTTAACACTCCTCAGCTGAGATGTTCCTGGCTCACGGGTCCCCAAAACCCAGAACAGGAGGAGCCTACTGAGTGCAGCCTTCAGTTCCCTTGTAGCTGCGCGAGCTAAAAAGCCACCCTTGTCCCTGAATCCAGGTATTGCACTGCCAACCCAAAGGCAGTTGGTTCGAACCCACCAACTGCTTCGTGGAAAAAGATGGGCAATCTCCTCCCGGGCGATTTACAGCCTCTGAAACCCCCTTGGCAGGTCGACGTCCATGAGTGGTTTTGAGTTGAGCCCCATAATGGGAAGGCTTCATCTTGGCGAGAGGAAGGACTTGTCCTTTAAGACACAGAAGAAGGCCCTCTGTCCAGCATAGATCCCAGAAGAGTCAGTCATAGAACGAACCCCTCCTCGACCTGAGAAATGACTGAATAAAACCCACCTAAGGGTTGAAGGTTTGCAGTTCGAACCCACGAGGGGAGGAAACTGCAGGTCTCCTTTTAGGTGGAGGAGGGTCGCTGTTAGGTCTGGATCATTGCAAAGGCAGCGAGTTTTTTGGTGCCCAAAGGATCGAACGAGACACACTGTCCCTGGTCCCCAAGCAGCTCATCACGTAGAGAGGGAGCGAACCCCCTTGGAAACAAGAGAATTGGGAACAGTGGTTAAGCGCTATATTACAATAAAATGAGGCGATTCTTTATTTGGAGGGTAGGAAGAATCATCGAAGGCCTGTGTGTGTGTGTATACCCGCATTTGTGCGTGTACATATGTATATGTGTGTGTATATATACACAGGTGTACATGTATGTGTGTGTATATATACACAGGTGTACATATATGTGTGTGTATATATACACAGGTGTACATATATGTGTGTATATACACATATATATGTATGTGCGTCTGTGTATATATAAACTACTGGTTTACTTAAAAAGTTCATATACATTGTTTTTCACACCAAATCTTTCCCCTTTCCTTTACCCACCCCTTCCTCCAACGGTCAAATTGTGCATCCCAATGATTAAGTACCCCCCTTTTTAGTTTAAAATATTTTGAAGGGTTTTGATACCGTTGAAAACCCATAGGCACAGCAAAAGGCCAAAAGAATGGGTGTAATGGGCTTTGCTTACTGTGAGTAGATGTAGTTGAAGTCAGAATCACCTGGAAGGTGAACAGTGAAAACATGCAGGTGGGGTCCCGGCAGGGGTTGTCACCAGGTGGAGGGATAGTAATTCGTCATCAGAGCCCAGGTGTGTGGTATGAGTGCTGTGGTTAAAGCGCCCTCAGGTTGGCGATTTGAACACACCAGCTGGCCTTTAAGGGTAAGATGCGGCAAGCAGTCTGCTTTAGTAAAGATTTACAGCTTAGGTGAGCCTGTGGGGCAGTGTCTGTCCTAAAGCATCACCATTCATCAGAATCTAACTGATGCCAGTGGAGCTGGAGATGACTAGGAAACCAGTTCCTTAACACGCTTAACCTTGTAAGGTATGTACCATTGGGTCACCTGTCACTCATACAATATTGTTTTTGTGTGTACCATATAGAGGTAGAACCTGACCCATAGCTGACCCTCTGGTGGGTTTTCAGAGGCCGCATGGGAGGAAATTGCCCATCCTTCCCCCACAGAGCAGCTGGCAGGATTTGAACCGCAGCCTTTGGGACTGCAGCGCAGCTTTTTGCCACTAGGCCACCAGAGCTCCCACATATAACAATAGTCCTAAACTCTGCTCTACCCTGAGCTAGTCTCACTGACTGACACACCTATCCCCAGCCCCCTGGACCACCCCAATACTGTAGAGCCAGGTATGTTTATTCTGTTGTTGATTGCCTTGCCTTTATTAAATAGAGCACAACTCATAGCGACACTATGAACAGAGGCCTGAAGTCTTTCCGTAACTGTTGACATTTATCAAACTTCATTGTGTTTCCGGAGGCATGTTGTTTAGGAAGTGGATGCCACTCATGCTAGGAGAGTGAAAATGGAGTTGCAAGACAGTGATAAGATACTTCTGTGCATAGTACATCGTTTTAACCTCAGCATGTTTCCATTCAGTTGCAACTGGCCCATAGCTGTCCCTCCGGCAGGTTTTCAGAGACTGCATGGGAGGAAATTGTCAGAACAATACCTTAACCCTTTATCCCCCTGTGTGTGTTTGTTTTGTGTACCTTCAGGTTGTAACTGACCTATTGCTGAAGATTCTCCAACAGATTTTCAGAGGCAGTTAATCACAAGGGAGGAGATTGCCCATCTGTCTTCCACAGAGCCGCTAGTGGATTTGAACCGCTTGCCTTTGTGATTGCCATACAGCTTCTTACCTCAGGCCACCAGAGCTCCTGAATCAAGTAGTGTGTTATTGTTGTGTACCATTGACTTGCAACTGACTCATAGCTGATCCTCCAGCAGGTTTTCAGAGGCAGTAGATTGCATGAGAGGAGATTGTCCATCTCTCCTACGGGGCAGCTCCTTATCAGTAAACCATCATTGTAGGGAACATCTATATAACCAATACCAGGTGTGCACAGCCTAGGTTAAGAAATAGTGTATTAAGAAAAAAAGAAAGAAAGAAATAGTGTATCAGTACTTGTAAAATTTCCTATGTGCTCCAGTCTACTGACATCTGCACATACATACGTGCCACACATGACCCAAGACCCACTGTACATGTATAGGTCATAGGCACCCTATGAGCAACAGACTGAAACCTTGATTCATAGAGACTCCAGGGGCAGAGTAGAAGTGACCCAGAGGATTTCTCAGGCTCTGATTTTTATGGAAACAGATGGTCACATCTTTCTTCTCAGTGGCTGGAGGCACAGCACACTGTACTGCCAGGGCTTCACCCCTAGTAAGGGTGGATTTTGTAGGGATAACTGGATTTTAGAGAAGGCTAAATTTTTGTAAGGATAACTCTGGATTTTAGGGAAGGCTAAAATTTTGTAGGGATAACTCTGGATTTCATAGAAGGCTTCTTAAAAGACCATGTTTGAGTGAAATGTTTTAAGTAACCCAGTCTGTAATGGGGATTGGGGAGAGGTTCTGAGTCTGGATTAAGCTGGAAATAATAGGTGGAATAAAAAAAAAAAAAGAGAGTGGATATGACTACAAGAAGCACTAAATAAGCAGGGGAAGATTAGCTGTTGTTAGGTGGCATCAAGATTGTTCCTAATCTGTAACAACAATTTGTATGTACGACAGAATGAAGCCATTTCTGATTCTACACTCTACTGTGCTTAATTGAGCCCATTTTTGCAACCATGGTGAAAAATCCATCTCCTTGCGGGTCTTTTTCCCCCAGCCTCTAACAAGTCTTTCTCCATAGAATGGCCCCTCCTGATAACATGCTCCGTATATGTGAGACTTAATGTTCGTGTCACTATCTTTATTTGTAAGGAACTGTACTACTATGACGTTTCCTTTATTCTCTTGGTAGGTCACAGTGGTTTGGTGTGATTCTGGCAGGTTCTCAGAGGCAGTTAATCTTATTAGATCATGATATGCAGTATTGTTTTGCCAGCACCACAATTGAAAAGCATCAGTTCTTTAGTTTTCTGTATTCTTTCACTTTTACATGCGTATCAGGAAATGGTAAAGATGATGGTTTCAGTCAGGTGCATTTAGTCCTCAAAGTGACGTCCTTCCTCTTGACCACCTTAAAGACATCCTTGACAGCAGATTTGCCCAATGTAATCTTGTCATTTGATTTCTTGAATACTGTGTCCATGGACCTTGATTGTGGATCCACGTTAAATGAAATAACTGGCAGCTTCAGTCTTTTTTCCTATTTATCATGTTTATGAGTTTAGTAGTGAGAATTTCTGTTTTCTATAGGCTGAGGTGTAATTCATACTGAAGTTTTAAAATCTTGACCATTCATCACTAAATTCTTCAGATTTCTTTCTTTTCCGCAAACCAGGCTGCTCTTTGGAGGCAAGGATAGGCAGTCTCTTCCTGTGTGATTTATTGCCTCTCAAAACCTGGAGGGGCAACTCTGGATCAGTTCTTGCACACAACAGCATGCTAGCAGAGCTTCCTTAATAGCTATTAATTAACTGTTATTCACAGAATAGTTTGTCAATTATTAATATCTGTTAGGTTGATATGAATTGAGGTAATCTGGTGCTAGAGCTGAGTTTCACAACTGTCATTCTGTATTGCCTCTCTAATTTGTCTGTGACTTTGAGTATAATTTCAAGTAGAAGAAAAAATAGTCATGCTTGCCTTGGTTTTGACTGTAAGACTTCAGAAATAGCTTTATATGCATCTGAAAGTTGGACAATGGATAAGGAAAACCAAAGAAGAATGATTGTCTTTAAATTGTGGTGTAGGCAGAGTATTAGATTGCCAAAAGGAAGAAACAAATCTGTCTTGGAGCAAATGAAATCAGGTTGCCCCTTGTAAGCAAGGATGGTGAAACTCTGGTTCACGTACTTTGGCCATGTTATGATGAGTGAGTGTGTTTGGGGAAACACACCATGCTGGGGAAGGTGGAGGGCTGGAGAAAGAGAAGACCCCCAACAAGATGGGTTGATGCAGTGACTGTAACAGTGGGATTGAGCATATTGGAGATTGGAGGGTGGTCCAGGATAGGGCAAGGTTGAGACCTGTGTTCATACGGTCATGATGGTCCA